AACAACAATAAAAGTTAGTTTTTTTAGGATGATTACAGTTATGAATGTCCATGCCCTGATTCTGTTACAACAGAGCAGTGGTAAAGGAATTGGATTTTGGAGCCAGATTACCTGGTTTTATATTCCAGTCTCACCACTCAGAAACTGTGTGATCCTAGGCAAGTTACTCTTTTTCTCTGTGCCACAGTCTTTTTATCTGTAAAGTGCTAATAAAAATTATAATGAAAATTCCTATCTCATTGAGCTTTGTGAGTAAACAAATACACAAAAGCTCACAGAATGTGCCTGGCACAAAGTATGCACAAAGTAAATGTTAGCTATTAAATGTTTGATATTAATACCATATTGCATGTACACAAAGGTTTATTTTTTTTCCTGTTAAAATTATTCTTGGGCTGGGATTGCAGTTCAGTGGTAGAGCACTTGCTTAACATGTGTGAGGCACTGGATTCAATTCTCAGCACTGAATATAAATAAAATAAAGGTCCATCAACAACTAAAATAATATAAAAATATTATTCTTTGCCATATCCAAGGACATAAAGCATAAAGAATTCAAGGGATTCCAAACTCTCCACATTTTATATAACTTGAAGGAAGAATGAGATGTAGGGAAAAACTTTTGTTCTTTACCTTTCGCAGAAGCTTATCATGGCAACGCAGAAGTTCGAAGAAGAGCTCTAGTAAATTTGATGGATTGATGAGATTCTTATTTCTCAGCAAGATCAGAGCTTTGCAAAATGTCTTTGAAAGGAAAAGAAAACACAGTTATAGTATATGTCTTATGGACAAAGGGAAAAATCAAATAAGAAAATGGAGCATTTATATATATCCCAAAGAGGTTTAGGTCTTTTCCTAACAAGGCACTATTCTAGGCATCGGAACAGACAGTCTCTGCCCTCATGGAGCTTCCACTAGGGGTGGAGCAGAAGAAGATATAGGCATAAAGAAGAGTATGTGAGATAATAAATGTCACAGAAGAAGTAAAACAGGGTAATAGGATTGATAAATTCTGACTGAAGAAGGCAACTTTACAAAGAGAGGTCAAGGAAGGCCTCCCTGGAAGACTGTCTTCATTTGAGAAAACCCTAGTGATCAATGACTCCACGAGGATAACATAGGTCAGGCAACAATGAAATGATACATGAAATGGAATAATCAAAATAAGTCTGTTACCTTACAAGACTTGTAGCATTCTTGCTTACCACCAATTTTCATATGCAGTCTTATCCAAATTATGACCTCTAATACTACTTTCCATAAGATCTAATAAGAAATATTTGGAGAATAGTTGGTTGCTTACTGTTTGTGCAGGGGAAACAATAAGAATGGGCTTGGGACTATTTCTTCTAGAATATAATAAGGATGCTTTAAAAATATCAGGGGCAGGACTGGGCTCAGCGCAGGAGAGCTGAGCTGTGGCTCAGTGGTAGAGCACTAGCCTAGAATATATGAGGCACTGGATTCAATCCTTAGCACCACATAAAAATAAATAGAAGAAAGGTCTTAAAAAAAAAAAAATCAGGGATACTTCTAAAACAACTAAGAAGCTCCCCCTTGGCCAAGTGGTGACAATGTGAACACAAAATAATAAGACCCCAAAAGAACTTAATAAAAGTATTTTAAAAGGTCAAAGAAAAAAATCTGCTTAATTTTTCTTGCTTTTCATTACATAAGTAAGTTGTGAATATTTAGTTTCTTCTACAAAGAAATACAATCTGTTTCCATCTATGTAAGCAGGAAAGAGTAAACAAATACTTGGGGATTCCAAAGTACAAAAATAACAGCAAAATAAACTAGATGGAAAGTCCAATGGTTAATCAGAATTGGTGGTTATCACAATAACCAATAAAATAGGCCAGGCATAGTATCAAACACCTGTGTTGCCAGTTTTTTGAAGACGGGCTATAGATACAGCTCAGGGCAAGAGCATTTGCCTCGCATGTGTAAGGTCCTGGGGCTCACTCCCCGTAACAAATGCATGCACATGTGTGAGCGCGCACACACACGCACACACACACGCACACACACACACGCACATACATACACACACACACATATATATTAGAACACAAAAAGTTCTTCTGTATATACTAAATTATTCCTCTAAAGAGCAATGCTAACTATTCAGACTCAACCCTTCATGTTCTAGCAAAGGAAATCTCTGTTTAAAAAACAAAAACAAAAGAATCTTACTAATCTTTATAAAACATAAAGAAACATACTGCTGGGTGTGGTGGTGCTTGCCTATAGTGCCAGCTTCTCAGGAAGCTGAGGCAGGATTACTTGCGCCTAGTAATTCAAGGCCTGAGCAACATAGCAAGGAGGGAACATACAAACAAAAAAGAAAACCCCAAAACAGCGTAAAAATGGTAGAATTACACAAAGTCTGGGAAAAACATTAAGAATAAGAAAAAAGTTAAAAGTCCACATCATCTACAACCACAAGAATGGGATCTAATTAGAATAAGTTATACTCCATGTATGTATACTATGTCAGAATATACTCTATTGTCATAAATATTTAAAAAGAACAAATAAAAAGTAAAAAGAATAAGTAGTATGTTAAATCTATAAACTTAGTTAAATATTTTTACAAGTTTTGGCATAGGATATTAGTATGCTTTGTGATCATAATTATTTTTTGTAAGTACCTGCTGTAAAGGTATTTGAAAGGCAGATATGCCTATGTTGGGTTCCCTAAAAGCAGAGTCTGATTCATTCTAAGTCACTTGTGAATACATGCTCTCAAAAGAAAAGTGAAGAATGCAGAATAAGTACAGAGAAAAGAAAAACCAAGCAAAGACACGTACTTGGCTGGAGACTACCTTTGGTGCAATCACAGGGAAGCCCTGGAGTACAATTTACAATACAGTTAGACCCAACTGAGTTGGGTTTTGCAGGTCATGATAATCAGCTGGGAGTGTAACCTCCCAGATCTAAGACTTTCATTTAGCTGGGGACTATGCTTCAGAGTAAGGTGGCGGCAGAAGTTGGGGGGTTAGAGGGGATCAGCAGTTGACATTCTCAGCAGATAGGGGAAATGGGTACAACAGTTGGTATACGGGATCTTAACCAGGACCCAAGATCAACCACTAGAGTGACAATGTTTAAATGCTCAAACTGGCCATTTAATGGATAACTTTACTGAATTAAGTATTATATAAAAACTACATATTATAACAATTAAGGTTCTTCATGCATATGAGATTTGAAGTAATCACCTATTCAAAACAGGGCATGGTGGAAGAACAGAACAATCAGAGAGGAGAGTAGCAGAAAAGGAGATGAGGGAACAAAAACAGGCAGGAAGCAGAGTATAGGTAGGAACTTAACAGGCCACGATGATAAGTGTGAATTATATTATAGATATAAATGAGAACCCACAGAAATTTTAAGGAAAAGGTGACCCTTCTGATTGACATTTTAAAAAGATGTTTAGCTGACAGCCTATTGTCATTTAAATACATTATCATATGCACACCTAAACACAGTATAGTTTATTGATCAAAAAACTTGTCCTACCATTCGAAGATCCGGATCCAATACACTATGATTGTAGGAAAGAAGATCTTTCAGTTCTTGAGGAAAGTTACTTAGATGTTCTGGGTAGCAGTGACCAATCTATAACAAAGCAAAGGCTTTTCTGAAGTTCCTCTTTCTAAAATTGAGATGCACAGATTTAAGATGTTCTGCAAAAGGAAAGTATTTCACAAAGGCAGATGGTCCCAAATTATTTTTTTCCTATGTGCTATTTCTCCTGCTATTCTCATAGTTCCTATAGTCTTTGTAAAATATTAATGATATCATTGAGAACCTGCTCAATGAATTTGAAAAAAATAGTTTGACAGTTTGGTTCTGATTGTTTCTATGAAAAGACCTAACAAATTCTCCACTCATCGTAGGAAGAAAATAAAATCTGTAAGAAAGGGCAAGTTTTAGAAAAACTTAAGCTTCCACTCCAGAATGGAATGAGGTTGAGTATTATTATTAAAAAAATATTCTGTAAAAGTGAGTAACATTGACCTTTGTTTTATTCAGAAATTATCTTCTTACCTGTGCCATAAACATCACCAGCTCTGCCAATTCTTTGCTGGGTTTATTTGGTTGTAACTTGAAAATCTCCACATTGGATTTGTAGTGATTATACTGCTGAAGAAACTGTAGAAAAATAAAATTTAAGTTTGTTATGTTCAATTATATGAGTATCCCAATATAGAATGAAAAACTATTTAGTAAAGTCTTTGACAGTGGCATGGAGAAAAAGATGCATCTCATACATAAAAATGTTTTCTTTTTCCTTATCTGCATTCTTCTAAATAAGTTTTGAAAAACCTAAAGCCATCAAAGATAATCTAAAAACTCTTTCCTTAGAATTATCATTAGAAAGTTAGGTAGTGTAGTATAAAAAACAATAAGCAAGAGTCAAAGACTCAGATTCTGGCCCTGTACTGTCATTTACTAGCTAGATGACCCCTATAAATTGTCTGTTTGGAGAACACTCAAACCAGCAGAAAAATACCACCACAGAAAACATGTTTTTAAGAGTCAAGGGCAAGAGACACATAAAAATTACATAGCTTCCACTTATTCAGCACTTACTACGTGCCAACTTCATTATGTACATTATTTATTTCATTGCAATTAGTCCTAACAACCCAATAGTCTAATGTTAGAACTGGTGAGCCAGGCTTCAATTCCATGTTCTATAAATACTCTCCTTCCATAGTCCAATTTCTTTCTCTTTTGTTTTTTAATTTTGTTTTGTTTCTTTGTGGAGTAACAGTTTGAACTAAGGGGCTCACACATGTTAGCCAAGTGTTCTACCACTGAACTACACTCCCAGCTTCCCATAGTTGGTGTTTTTAAATTGTGTATATGTGTGAGAATAGACACATATATACAGAAAATGCATATTTATTTATCATCAGCTCAGCCCTAAATGGTGCGGTGAACTCCAAATTCTCATATTCATTTGCCTATCTGTCATCTGTTTAGATGTCTAAAAGATGTCTTAAACTTAAGTTTTTTTAGGGAAACAACATAACTTTTGTTTCCCTAAAATAAAAAAAAAGAATCTAGGTGTCCACTCACCAGCTTTTACCAAGTGTAGGAGTCAAAAGGCTGTCTTTAATATGTCCTACAAAAACACAGGTCTCCCAGGCCATCCCTCAACCCACTACTCAAAAGAGGGCATGTTCATATTAGTAGTATCCCAAAACTCTTTGGGGTGGCATCGGGCATTTATATCTTTTAAAGAGCCAAGTTATCCTGATACTTCGTGGAGAGCACATTATTTTCTTCTAAAATAGCTGAGTCAGAATGTGTCCTCTTTGCTCCTCAATCCTATTTTAAGAGCACTGGCATCCATCCAGATTGATTCTTTTTTTCTTCACTGTCTCCACTCCCAGCTTTCAATCAAGTTTTACCCCATCAGCAGAATATAGACATGCTTTTATTTCTACCATCTAATGAGAAACTTTTTGGGTTCCACTTCACTCTCTAGCTTTCACTCCATTTCTCTCTCCACCCTCTCTTTTTTTTTCCCTCCCTCTTTTTTTTTCAACTTCTGGGAATTGAACCCAGGGGTGCTTTACCACTGAGTTACACCCCCAACCCTTTTTCTTTTATTTCAAGACAAAGTCTTGCTAAGTTGCCCAAGCTGGTCTTGAACTTGAAATCCTCCTGCCTCATCCTCCCCAGTAGCTGGGATTACAGGTAAATGCCACCACATATCTGGCTACTCCCTCCTTTTCAGAAAAACACCTATATTGCCCAGGCTGGGCATAGTGGCACACACCTGTAATCCCAGGGGCTTGGGAGACTAAGGTGGGAGGATCACAATTTCAAAACCAGCCCCAGCAACTTAGTGAGGCCTTAAGCAAATCAGCAAGACTCTCTCTCAAAATAAAAAAATAAAGTGTGCAAAACTGAATTGTGCATACTTAATCTAATTTCTTTCCTTTTTTAAAAAAATTGATATAATTCATATACATAAGGTTTAGCCTTTAGGAGTACACCATTCAGTGGTTTTTAATATATTCAAAAGGTCAAACAACTATCTAATTACCACTATCTAATTCTAGAAAACGTTTCACCATAAAAGAAACTCCTATGTGTCAGAAGTTACTTCCTATTCCCCTTCCCCTCAGACCCTGGCAACCACTAATCTACTTTTGTCTGTATGGATTCACTTATTCTGGACATTTCGTAGATGGGATCATACTTCATTTGCCTTTAAGCCTACTGTAATCAGATTTCTGGACTCATTATTCCACCCAAACTGCTCATATCAGGGTAGCTAATGACATTAATATTGCTAGATTTACTGAAAGTCTTTATCTTATTTGATTCATCAGCACCTCAAATTCTTGGTCTCCCCCTCATCGTGGGAATACCTTTGGTACTTGGCTTCTAGCATACTACCTGGCTTTCCTACTTCATGGGCAAATTTTTTCAGTCCTTTTTGATAGTTACTCAGCAATTTATTAGCCTCTAAATGTTGGGAATCCCTGGGGCATTGTCCACTTATCAGATCATTTCTCACTTAGTCTGCTATTACCATCCTGGAAAAAGTTAGCACCATTTTTCTTCTGTAGATAATTTTAATGGGTTCTTAACTATGTCTGCTTCCACCTTTGCCTTCCTGCAATACAATCTATCCTCAAAACTAGCCACACGGATCCAAATCTCATAAGATTATTCATGAATTCCTCTGCCCAAAAGGCTTCCATCTCACTCAAAGCAAAATCTAAAGTTCTTAAAAACAGCCAGGCTCTATAAGATTAAGCTCCATCTCGCCTCTGATTACTCTCCCTTTCCTCATTACCCATTTGAGCTATAATAGCCTACTTTAGGTTCTTCAAACCTACCAAGCACATTCCTATCCCAGGGTTTTTATATTTGCTGTTCCTTCTGCCTAGAATGCTTCTCCTTTAAATACATACGCAACTCTGCCTCATCCACTTTAAGCAGTTACTTGAGGACTTTTCTATTTTACCTTTTTTTTTATAGTACTTACCATTATTTACCAAACTATACTTTCCTTGCCATTTTGTTTCCTCCTATAATAATGCAATCTAATGAGGATGGGATTTTTTTCTGTATAGTTCACTACTACAGTCCCAGGGTCCAGCACCTTGCCTAGCACACCACAGGCAATTAATAATATTTGTCAAATGAATGAACTTCATAAGCGGCACTATCACCTACCCGTGTGCAAAAAATCAAAACAAAACAAAAATCATTTGTTGTTCTTTCTTTTCCCCTCTCCCTATATTCCCTCCACAAGGGAGCAAAGGAAGTCCTACTTGCTCTACCTCCATGACTAGTTCAAATTTGTCCTAATTCTATCGATAATTTCATTGGCACTATTCCAATAGCCATTATAAGTTACCTAGTTCCAGTCTTACTCCTCTACAATTCATTCCACACATAACTTCAGTGTACATTTTTAAAAATATAAAGGAGGATCGTGAGTTGAAAGTTAGTCTCAGCAACGGTGAAACCCTAAGCAACTCGATGAGAGCCTGTCTCTAAGTAAAATACAAAATAGGGCTGGGGATGTGGCTTAGTGGTTGAGTGTCCCTGAGTTCAATCCCTGGTACCAAAATAAAATAAAAATATAAATATAAATCAGATCATGTCACTTTCCTGTTTAAAACTCTTCAATGGCTTCCCAAAGCACAAAGTGTAAAATCCACAACAGCCCTGTATTTCCTACATCATTTTCCACTGCTCTCTTCTGTGTTAACTACATTTTAACCATACTTTCTTCCTCTCCACTTTTTTTTCACCAAGAGCTTCTGCCCTTCCTAATTTTTCTGTTATGCTTTTGACCTGTCTGGCTCAATATCACTATTGCAGAAAAGCCTTCTCTAGTTACAGAATCAAAATTAACAGCCTCTAACATATTCCTATGCAGTCTTATTTTCTTCACAGTCCTTACCCTATAAATCTACCTTCACTAGAATGTAAGACCAGGAGAAGAAAGCTCTCATCTGCCTTGTTTATCACTGTATCCCTAAGGTTTAGAATTACATTGATACACACCAGGGGCAACATGTGTGGATTTGTATGTGTATTTAAGTGACTAAAAGAGCCTTCTCACACATTAAAATATACACATAGGTTCATTGATTAACCTTCCCTGGTTACACAATTGATCATCAATAGAACCAAAATCAATGCTCTTAAATACAGAAATATATGGGCTTTCAGCTTAATACTCTTGTCAATTGTTGTACAGTGTTTTCCCCCATTAAGTCCTAAGCTTTCAATTCTGCATATATTGCAATGAAATCAACAGATGCATTAATAGGTTGCAAATCATAATCTAGAGCTTATGTATTAATTATGTTAGTTAATATTACATTATAATCACCACTTTCATTTTGTTATTCCTCAGTTCAAACACCTTTAATATTCACAATTCATCCAGGTCACACTTGCTTCCAATGGGTTTGAATCCTGGCTTACCAAGGTATACTAAGCTCCTGATTCTGTCCCTAGTATTCGAGAACACCCCGCCTTCTTCAGGCACAGCTCAGGGCGCAGAGCTGACGTCCCTCGAAAGCATTTCAATACACGATTTACCAAGGGTTACCCACTAATTCATGTTAAGAGTTTCTGAAAAGCAGCAGCTAAGAAACCTGATGAAAGGTGGAGGATGGGGCAGGTCCTTTGTCTCTGCACCTCAGTGAGGTAGCCAGATAAATGGAGACAAGATGAAGTTTTAAAGAATGTTTTCGTGGTAGCGGGGTCTACAGATCAGGTAGAAGATCCAAAGAGGCCAACAGGTGGAAAACGAGCTCTATGCAAGTTCCTTCCCCAAACCCTTCTCTCCTCCGCAGGGACCCCTGATCCTAAAGGCACCCGCGGAACCGGGACCCCGGCTCCTCCACGCCCCCAGCGCTGGTCTGTCCACCGAGCGTGCCCAGGCCTCTAGTGTCCGCCGCGGCTGCACTCCAGGAGGCGGGTCTGGCGGATAAACGACAGGGTGGGAACGTGTTTAACCCTGCCCCACTCCCACCTCCTCGATGTAGGCTGGCGGGTCCCGCTTGATCAGATTCTGTAACTGCGGCAGATTGTTGGGCAGCTTGTTGTTATTTCTGCTGGACATGTTGGCTGAAGACTGGCTTCCCCCGCCGCCGTTCTAAGAAGGCTCACGCAGCCGCCAGCAGCCAGTCAATCGCAGCGGCGGCCTGAACTCGTGCTTCCAAGTACAACCGGAAACGGCCGGGGGAAGCTCTGTGGGAGGCACCACATTGACTTGGAAAGCGAGCTATGGGAGCCTCAGAGTGCCAAACTTCCTCTCACCGCGGAAATGCTTGCAGGGTTTTGACAGGTGATTTCTCACTTCCCTTGGGCAAGCGTTTCTGAAACGATCTGAATTGTAAAGGTTTTTCTTTTGCTTCCCCCCACCCCATATACATGAGCATCATCACAACACTTTTATGAACCAGACAAATGAGGGTTAATAATTTGTTTTTAATCCCACAGCCCAACGTTAGAAACTAGAAGAAAACAAAAACCCGAAGACCATAAGGGCTGGTACACATAGCACTAGCTAAATTTGGAAAGGGAAAAATGAGCAAAGAGGGAAGTAAATTAGTTTTTGTATGGTTTTAAATATTTGTTTTTATTTTGGTTTTGGGTGTTTCAACTCATCATGATCTAGAAAAGGAAAAGGATACGTAACGAATGAACCATTGATCGTGCTGATTGGTTAAAAAATGCAAATTAGCCTGTATTTAAATTTCAACCATTATTATAACTTTTGCAAACATTCTTCAACCAGAGTATTAAATTCATATTCTGGCAAAATGAGGAAATAAATAAATTTCTACAGTCCCAAGATATATGTAAGAAAATATGAGTTGGTTAAATGAATTAATGAGACAGGGTGTTGTTAATAAAAAAACATACTATTACCTACCCTGTGCTGGACACTGTTCAAAGGCTTTTCTCATATTAACCCCTTTAATATTAACCACTTTGCATTGAGGAAACAGGCTCAGGGAAGTTGACTGCCCAAGTTCAGAGCTGTTGAGGAAGCCTGGATTTCTATAACTAGAGGAGGAAAGGCAAAAACAACCTATTGAGTGGTAACTGATCTGCCATAACAGAAAGACTATGGTGTTCTCCAGTTTAACCTAAGCAGGTTCACAGAACACCAACTTCAGTCAAGGTCACCAGAACTATAATAGAATGAGTCTAAAACAAGACAACTCTCTAATCACATCTGAGTAAAGACAAAATAAAAAACACTGCACAAGGCACAATTTGTTATTTAATTGGCTTTGGAGAATAGATAATGTATCGATTGTTGAATCTAATACCTGAGAAGTTTTTATGAAGTAAATATAAGCAATAAGTCTTTTCTTAAAACCCCATCCATGGCCAGGCATGGTGGCATATGACTTTAATCCCAGCTACGAAGGAGACTGAGGCAGAAGAATGGTAAGTAAGTTAAAGGCAGGCCTGGCAACTTAGTGGACCCTATTTCAAAACTTTTTTAAAAATGGCGGGCTAGGGATATAACTCAGTGGTGGAGCGATTGCCTAGCTTGTGTGCAGGCCTTGGGTTCAATCCTGACTAACACACACACACACACACACACACACATACACACACACACAAATCATAGATTCAACTGTTTTGGGTTAAGTTGTATTAGGAAAAAAGAAGCATTCTCAACACAAAATATTTGAAATTATTTAATAAAATTGTCAAAATCACAAGTTTATGTACTATAAATTTTTACCTAGAGTTAGCAAAATGTGACTTGTTAATAAAACATTCAAACCACATCACACACTTTTATTTAGCACAATTTATATGCCAGGTACTAGGCTAGATGGTATTAGTATAATTTAAGTTTCAGTAACATAATGCTTCTGCGTATATCTCATTGGTCAGAACTTAGTGATATGGCCAATTCTATCAGAGAGTTTGAAAAATAGTCTTTTGGCTGGACACCATAAAGTCTTGAAGGAGAGGTCTTGTTTTAAGAAAAAAAAAGAATTTCATGAAGATTGTTGTATTTAACATATGTCTGGAAGAATATATAGAGATTTTATATGAAGGGATACATAGAGGAAAAAGAAATTCAATTGGAACAGGTAATGATGTCTATATAAGTTTATTAGTATAATGTAGGAACTTAAGGTCATTCCTTAGGAAATACTTCCATGAGAGTGTTGAACAAAGTCAATTTGCATGCTAACCTCATGATTTTATTATACTTGCCATATGACCTTATGATAATTAAACTATTTTAAAATTGATGTTAAATATACCTTTATTCATTTAACTTTATTCAAAGCAATAATATCAGGAATGATGGATTTTTTTCCAATCCACATCACAATAGAATGAAATATTCCTGAGACTATCTAAAGCCAACACCTGTTTTCATATGAGATATCAGCCTTAATTTCTTTGTTATTTATTTTTAATTGACATAATAATCCTACAGATTTATGGGGTATAGTGTGACATTTTAAACATGTATCCAATGGGTAATGACTAGATCAGGGTAATTGGCATATCTCTCACCTCAGAAAATTATCATTTCTTTATGTTGTAACTATTCAAAATTCTCTCTACTTGGGGCTGAGGATGTATATCAGTGGTAGAATGCTCACTTAGCATGCATAACGCCCTTGTTTCAATCCCTATATCTTCCCCAAAAAATTTCCTCTCTACTATCTACTAGGAATATACAATCAATTATTATCAACTATAGTTATCCTATTGTGCTACTGAACATCAGAAGTTATTCCTTCTATCCAACTGTACACCTGTACCCCATTAACCATCATCTCCATCTCCCTTTCTGTTTTATGATTAACTGTGTATTTTACAGCTCTAAAAAGAAATAGTTGATGGGCTGGGGATGTGGCTCAAGCGGTAGCGTGCTCACCTGGCAGGCATGGGCACTGGGTTCGATCCTCAGCACCACATAAAAATAACATAAAGATGTTGTGTCCACCGAAAACTAAAAAATAAATATTAAAAATTCTCTCTCTTTTTTTTAAAATAAGGAATAATTGATGTATAAGAAACTGCCCATAAAGTGTACAATTTGATGAGTTTTATATGTATGCACCCATGAGAACATTATCACAGTCAAGATAATGATTATATTGATCATTGTCAAAGGTTTTCTAGACAAATAGGTATCTGCTTTCTGTCACCAGAGGCAAGTTCACATTTGCTAGAATTTTATACAAGTGGAATCATATAAAACATACACTCTATCATCATTTTCTTTTGAGCCAGTCTTCTTTCACTTAGCATATTATTTTGAAATTCATCCATGTTATGTATATCAATGCTTCATTACATCATTTCTTCTTTTTTTTCCCACAGTATTTGGGATTGAACTCAGGCACTCTGCTATTGAGCTATATGCGCAACCCTTCTTGTTTTTTATTTTGAGAAAGATTCCTGCTAAGTTGCCCATGATAGTTTGGTACTTAGAATCCTGCCTCAGACTCCCAAGTAGCTGGGATTATAAGCATGTACCACTGCACCTGGCAATAGTTCACTCCTTTTATTCCTGAGCAATATTCCATCAGATAGATAAACAACAATTTATTTGTACATCTTCTTTTTGTGGGATATTGGGGGGTTTCCAGTTTGGATCTATGAATATTCATATTCAAGTTTGTGGACATGATTTCACTCTCTTTGGTAAATGCCTAGGAATGGGATGGCTGGATCATATGGTAGAAACTACAAGTCGTTTGCTTCTACCATTCCATTAAAATTTTATTGTTTTGTTTTTCACAGTGCTGGGAATCAAATCCAGAGCCTAGTGCATGATAAGCAAGCACTCTACCACCGTCCTACACTTCCAGCCCCTAAAACTGTTTTTTTTTTAAATCAAAATCACTGATTACCTTCATGTTGCTAAATATTTTTTTCATTACTTATCTTACTAGTAGCATTGGACACGTTTGGTCTCTTCCTTCTGTTAGAAATATGTTTGGTTAACTGATCCCTACTCCCCTTGGCCACCTACAGAGTATTTATGTGTAGAAGACTTAGGGATCTTCATATGTATCAGGGAACTCCTCCAGTTTCCTAACTCAGAAAAGGCTAAAGTTCTTCAGGGACATAGAGGCTATTATGGACTACATGTCCTACCACACACCCAAATTCATATGTTGAAACCCTAGATCCAATGGAATGGTATTAAGAGGTGTGGCCTTTGAGAAGTAATTAGGTCAACAGGGTAATTAAGTCAAGAATCCTCAGAGTAGGATTAATGCCCTCACAGAAAGAGACAGTGCTCGCTTCCCCTCTCTGGTCTCTGCTACCAGAAGCTGATTATCTGCAGGTCCTCTTCTTGATTTACAGATAGTCAGTTCCCAGCCTAGAGAACTGTCAGAAAATGTTTGTTGTTGAAGTCCCTTAGTCTGCAGTGCTTTGTTATACCAACTGCAAAGTAAGACAATGGGCTTATATGATCTGATCTCAAATGACCTCTCTGGGCTTCTTTTCCATCCTCTCCCTTTTGCCCACTTTACTCAGAAAGATGACCTCCTAGCAGCCTTGAATTTCTCAAGCCTCAGGGCCTTTGTCCTTGCTGTTTGCTCTGACTGAAACACCACAGGTCTTGTTCTTCAGGTCTCTCCTCAATGATGGTACACCTGACCTCCCACCCCTCCTCCACCCAACGCTCCCTTCCTTCTTTTCTTTCTTCTTCATAGCCCTTACCAATCTCTGCATATCATATATTTACTAATTTAGCTGATTTCTATCTTTATGCACTAGAATAGGGGTTTAATGAAGACTTTCTGTTTCGTTCACTGCTTTATCCTGAACACTTGGAGCAATTCATGGCACATAGTAGGTAATCAATCAGCTAATATTTGTGGAATGAATGAATAATGGATAATCTCTAAAGCCTATTCTAATGCTTCAATTGTGTGATAGAAAACAAAATTTATTTCAGAACCACAGACTAACATGTGAATTCTAGTTATTGTCTCTATTTAGAAACCAATTATGTTGAGTATGTTGAGAAAAGCCAGGCCCGGCCGTCCACAGTGGCACACTCCTATAATCCCAGCAGCTCTGGAAGCTGAGGCAGGAGGATCGCAAGTTCAAAGCCAGCCTCAGCAAAGGGAGGTGCTAAGCAACTCAGTAAAACTCAGTCTCTAATTAAAATATAAAATAGGGCTGGAGGTGTGACTCAGTAGTCGAGGGCCCCCTGAGTTCAATCCACAGCACCCAAAAAGAAAAAA